CGGGCGGCCCCCCGAAGCCGCCACCAAAGTAAGTCAGCAGCTCTCTGGGGATGGGGACATCCACACGCCTCAGCCCCGACCACGTGGGGATGGAGGGGGCTCCCAGGCTGGGGTGGGGGGCACCTCCTGTTGCTGCCTGCTCTCTTGGGCAAGCTCCCCACTGGGGAGATGCACTGAGTCCCCATCCCTCCCTGCCTGTCCTTCAGCAACCATGGTCTTCCTCAGAGCCCGGCACTTTGTCTGAGGAAGAACCGTAACAGGTAGAAGTTGCGAAAGTTGATTTTCTTTCCTGCTTTGTCTTCCCTCGCTGGGTTTTGCCTTTAAATGTCATGGCTGCATCCCAGCCCCTGACAGAGAGGATGAGCAAATAGCAGCCTTTGGAAGGGAGGACAGACTTACTCTGGGGGTAATCAGAGTGGTGAGTGGATGTAACCTGCTGAAGCACCACCTCCCCAGAGCTACATCTCCCTGGGGCAATCTTTGTTATTTCAGGCACCCTGCTAAATTCCAAAATGCATCACCACGCACCCCAGTTGGCAGTGAGAGACTTCTGTCCTTGCTGCCAATCTTCCCCAGCCCCTTCCTGGCCCATTTAAAACATACAAATCACTATGACTTTGCAGATCACTCATGCAATGTGCCTGAGAGCAGCTGCTCCTCCTGGCTGCCCCCGATTCAGCATGGCAGGTTTGGCAAGGACCTTCCTGGCTCCTCACCCCTGCCCCAGCCGTGGGGGCTGCTCCTGGCAAGGAGGGCTCACCGGGGAGCTGCTCCTGCATCACCCGGCCGTGCTGCTCAGTCGTTAAAGCTTGCTATCAAAATTAAATCATTTTTGAACAGAAAATGGAGGAATCTCAGCATGGGAAAGACGTGCCTCTGCAATACCAGTTTCACTGGTTCAGCTGAGTCACTCCTGGTTGCAGTTGTGCAAACTCGCCCAAAGCTGCACCCAAGCACAAGCGCATTCCTGGGCAGCTGCCATGGCGGTCAGGTCATGCCCTGTGGTCTCCTACCTCAGCCAGGAGCTTAGGGCTGTCGCAGGAGACTCACGGGGAAGACGCAGGGCTGAGCCATCCCTGCTCGGCTGCTCCCGCGTGTTGTGTGCCAGGGGAGGAAAGGATGCTGCGTGCCTAGGGGGTCCTATAAAACCTCCAGGATATCACCTTTCCCCTAAAACAACAGCTGCGTCCTTAAGGGGGGGGGGAACACAAGGTGAGGGAAGGGGTATGTCTCCCTTCACTAATGCCTTAATTAAGTGCATATGAAAGAAAAGCAGAGCATTAGTCATTTGGCCTGCAACAGGACCCAGGACTTTGCAGAGGCCCCGAATGGGAAGAGCAGGGCAGGCACTTGGGTGTATTAGCAAGAGGAATCAAACTCCTCCGTTGAGCAAAGAGGTTAAGCTCCTTCTCTGCAGTTAATTGCTGGGTGTTTAATTGCAATCAGGGGACCTGCCCCAGTTGGCACTGGCAGAGGGTCCAGCCCTGTGTCTTTCTGGCAGGTCAGGCGCAGCGGCCCCTCAGCTGCTGTGGATGCAGGGGGCTGCACCGGTGCGAAGGGCAGCGGTGGTCTGCACCTCTCTAGCAAGGAGCAGCACCCCAGGGAAAGCTTGCCCAGGACAGGGCATGAGGTGCGTAAAGCTCAGCAGAGGACAGATCTGGCTGGGAAATGTGGATGATCTGGAGGCACTTTTGGTGTCCAGGTCACAGCTTGGAAACTGCGGAGCTTTATCCCTCCTTGCAGCAAGGTGGGCTCTGCTGGAGAGCTCTCTGCATCATAAACCTGGCCTGACTCCCTCACGCTTACCTAACATTGCTTACGGTTCCCATCAGGAGGTTTTTCTGAGCACCTTGCCAGTTCACACCCCAGCCTTGTCCCTTCAACAATAATCCTTCGCCTTGGCTAATCCTGAATCCCCCTCTTTTCTCCGATGCCCGTGCACGTGCAGATGTAGAGGCAGAGGTATCAGCAACACCCCAAGCAAGAGCCTCACTTCCCAGGAACAGCGACCCCATCCAAGACCAGCCCTGCAGGTCCTGAGGGTAAAAGTCCTCGTGGTCTTTCCCTGAAGACCACGAGCTTTCTTCCCACTGATGTCTCCAGGGAATCCATTTGCTGGGAATCCTGCAGCCCAGGGATTGGAAAATATGAGCAGATCCCTCCTATATCTGCTCTCTACACAGAAGCACAATGATATAAAATATCCTGATCAGTCTCTTGTTACCAGAATTTTCTAGCTGGCAGAAAAAGAAGATTGCCAATGTGTATCAGATGCTTCTGGCACTTTTGGGCCCTGAAGCACCAGGGGGAGAACACGAGCCACTGCATCCTAGCAGCAAATCGGATTTTTATACTGTGAAACCAAATTGTGCTCCCAATGATATTGGTATACATTCAGAAAATTTCCATAAAAGTAAAATCAGCTCCTGAACTAGAGTAAGGAGTCTTAGAGGTTAGGCCTGTGGGAATCCCATGATGTTTCGTACAACCCCCTTCCCCATGCCCAGTAAGCTGGTGAAACTGTCCTCAGTGGGCAGCCAGCACCTCGGCGTGATGCACAGCACCCACAGAGCAGAGAGCTGCAGGGACCACAGTCGGATCCCCCTCTCCAGCAAACCCCGCACCGTCACAGAGAGCAATGACAGCAGAATCGCAAACTCCGCAGTGCGGGGAGGAATCTGCCCGACCCCTTCCTGTGACAGCCCAAGCTGAACCAGAAATAAAGATGGATGGAAAGACGCTGGTTGGGAGCATGGTGTTTTTTCTCCTGGGAGAGATTGCCTGTCGTTACGGTGTTTGAACAGACTGATGCTTTGGATCGTACGTTGGCAGCACCAGACCTCACTGCTGAGGCTTGCTGCTCGTGTAGGCAGAGACAGACCTTGTCGCACCATGGCTTGTGACAGAAACAACAGGGGAGGGGGCAGAGTCATCCCGCACCCCTGGCAGAGCTGGCACTAAGCTCCCAGGGTTCAGGGAGCTCAGCCTCTTGGTGCCACCCTGAGCGATGGTTTGGCCTTCCATACCAAAGACCTTTCTGGTACAATATTGCATGAAGGGGAGATGCTCGATGGAAGGATGGGATGTACACAATGGAGAGATGTGCACAAACTAGTGACCTTAATTTTAAAACCCTCCTGGCTTTGTGCAGGGCAGGTGTCCCATGCTGAGCTTTGTTAAGGTGGGAGAAGCACAAGCCTGGCCCAGGGGAATGCGGGGCTCTGTGGGAGATGGGGAGGGAGGAAGGGTGGGCAGGCTGGGGAGTGTAGAACAGACCCGAATCTCCCATGCACGCTCAGCCACAGCAAGGCTGGAAGACACAGACCTTAGGACTCTTTATTCTGACCATTGCCACTTCCTAGGACAGTTATCACTACCAAACTGTGTGGTTAGGTGGTCTGGTAAACGTCAGTGCATGCAGTCACCTGGATTTCATGGAAATGCCTGGCTCTGGGGACAGAGGAGGACACCAGCAGTTCCCAGCCCATACAGCAGTTCTCCATTCATGGGCACCACCTGAGCACACAGCCTCTTGTAGGCTTACAGCACTTCCCCATTCCCTCATGGACTCCACGCAAATGCAGAGGTCTCCTGCTCACCTCTGGCTCCTCTCACATGCTGTGTCCAAACCCACTGAGGGGAAAGGAAAAACAAAAGAAACTGTCCTGTCCCAAAATGCACCAGAAAGGGGAGTCTAAGGAGACCTGTGCTCCAGGATGCCCTACACAGTGCACAGTGCCTTCTTTAAGGCCTCATCCCATGGATCATCAAGATGTCCATTACCCTCTTCCCAGGGGAGGCAGCAGAAGCGGCAGGTACCGAGCACCGTCCCAAGCTGGTTCCTGAATGAAAAGTTTGCTAAGTCATTGTCTGAGACGTTGTCTATGTCTGTCACAGGACAAAGCTCCCTGTCACTGACACAAACATAATCCAGAGCAAACATCACATTTACAACATGGCTACGCACAACTTTTTCCCTGTCTTCCTTGTACTAAAAAAACCCCCATGTACTCCATTTCGAAGGTGTGGGGCTGGCACCTGCAGGGATTCCTGGCAGCTCTCTGAGGCCCCCAAGTAAAAGCAGTGGGAAATTTCCCACAGGAGCTCCAGGCTGTCCCTGGATTGTTTGGGACCCCCAGAGCAGCTCCTTCACACCAAGCCGGTGGGGAGGTCTCAAAGATAAGCAGCTTTCTGGTGAGTGTCTTGCATGTTTTATTAGAGCCCTATTTCCACTCGTTCATCCAGATAAGTCCAGGATGAGCGATTACAGCCCTCTCCTCTGCCCCACAGTTTCTTCACAGAGTTGTGTACAGAGGACTTTTATTTCAGTGTTTTCCAACCCTCTCCGGTCACCTGCCCGTGAACCAGCTCTGGTGTGTGTTGAGTGCGGTGGTCTCGATGAACTGGCAGAGACAGGGCACGCTGCTGTGCTCCAGGTGCCCCCCTGCCACGGCCCGGGGGAGGCAGCCAGTGACCAGGAGCCGGACGTAGCATCCACTGAAGATCACCAAGAGCTGCTGGGCCATCACCTGGAACAAGCACGAGAGGTGTCAGAGCAGAGCATCTACCTGCAGGAATGATACACTAAATACCATTTGCTCCCTCGTTCAAGGACTGTCCTCATCTGAAAGAAACAGGACAGGAGCCATTGGCATAAATATAACTGTCCCAGATCCCCTTCTGGTCACAGCAGTGCGGGCACACTGTCCCTGCAGAGGAGTGACATGAAATGACCGCTCGCCGGTGGGTGGCCGGGGAGCCAGGCTGCTTGGGGACCTGCCTGCTCTGTCACTGCCTCCTGGTGCCTTTTTTTGCCTGTAGACAGCCAGAGAGCTTCAATCTGCAGGGATGTCACCTGCACTAAATTCACTTAGTAACAGTGAGTGGAAAACTGTAAAATAAATCAAAATCATCCCTTTTGAAGCTTCTTGCTGATCAGGAATGAGGACACATTTGTTGCTCAGCATGGCACAAGTCTTTGAAGGCACGTGCCATGGAGGAGACAAAGGCAGGGCATGGTCACGTCTTATCCCCAGCCCGGACACAAGTGCTGGGTCCCTGCATGGACCCTGGGGAGACGTTATCTTCCAAACAGGGACTGACGGCCACCAGCAAGGAAAAGCCCAATCCATGAATTCCTCAAGGATTAAGCACTAGCTACTCAGTAAGCATTAACTGCTCAGCAGTGTCAGGGCTGGAGAAGGTGTGTGTGGACCTCCAGGCTTTCAGGTGCTTCTACTGGTGAAAAACAAGGTGAACCCCATGGCTGGTGCCTGCTGGGATGGGTTTTGGAGTTGAGGTGCCTGGGGAAGCGATTCGGCACCTCTGTCTGTCAGGGAGGGGTATTTGTCCTTACCTCTGGTGGGCCCTCGGGAACGAGACGGAGCAGCTCATTGCATGTCACAGGCTTTTTATTTAGGTTCACCCCGCTGGATAAAAGAGGGGAGTCTTCACTCAAAGCCTCTTCCTCCATCCCCGGGTCGGGCCGAACCACTGCCTCCATAACCACACAGAGCTGGTCCAGGCTGCGCCGCAAGTCCGACTGGAAGAGAAAGAGATTTGGGGGATGTCCAAGGGCAGGCAGGAGTGCTGTCCTGGGGACAGCCATTAAAGGACACGATTTCGTCCTGCACGTTTTTTACTCCCAGCAGTTATCATCCCAAGAGTAAAAAAGGCAGCACTGGCCAAGAGCCGTGCCCAGCATTTGGAGCTGAGTGTCTTCATCCCACTGCCATCAGCTGCCTCTTGTGCTGGTGACTGCTCCCAGCGAGACGGTCACAGCCTGGCACAGAGAATCTTGCCTTTAAAAACTCTGTGGGTTATATCAGCCAATATGTGAATTGGTGTGTAGCTGTCTATCCCCTGATCTGCATCTGTTGGGAGATGAGCAGCCCTGAGATTTTTGGAGGGCTGTACCCCATCACCTCTCATCCCACGGCTGTGGTCAGCAAGGGCAATTCAGTGCAGGAGAGCACCGTGTCTGTATATTACACACCTGCATAAAGGAAAACATTTTCAGAAGGCCAAGAGGACAACATTTTTGTACAGTTAACCCAGTATAGTGTTTACTTATTCCTCAGGCTATCCCATTTATTTCAGCAGGCCAGCTCAAGGCGTCAGCTATTTCAAGTTGTGACACATGCTTTCAAAATTTGCCCTTGATTCTTGATGACTTTCCTTTGTTAAAGTTGTATGGTTAATTATCCAGATATGCACGTACCACAGGTCCTAAACATATTCCTGTTGAACTGGGCACCGACAGATGCAGTTTACCCACCTCCCAGGCTGTCCAGCTCCCAGTTCACAGTGGAGGATGCCCAGGAGGACACTCACTCAGTTCTCCTTGCCCACCTCCATCCCACCAAAGCCTGGGCGTAGGGGTGGACATGCATGTGTCACTGCGGGACCTCGGGCTGCATCTGCTGTCGCTTACCTCTCGTGTCCTCTGCAGGTCCGCGATGTGGGCTGACAGGGACTGTAGGCAGCGCTCTGGGCTGAAGTGCACGAACCATAGCTGGGATGGGCAGGGTTAAGGAAGGGGTCTTTCCATGGTTCCCGCTCTGCAGCCCTCTGCCTCCGTGTGGATCGTGGTACAGTCGTCACAGGAAGCAGAGCAAAGGCAGATGGTGGCTATGGGATGCTCAGGACACAGTCAGGAACCAAATAACACATCTCAGGGCTGATTTTAAGCCAAGAGGGTCTGGGCCAAGATAAAACCTCAAGCTAATGGGGAAGAGAAGAGGGGTGGCAGGGAAAGGGGACATTGCCAGTCCTCCTCACACACCTCCTGCAGCCTGGGGGGGGGTGACAACTGGGCTAACCCAAGGCCATTGTCATCACTCATCTCAGTGGCCTTAGATCTAAATAAATTGGTGGGTCACATTGACTTAGCTCCCCTAAACTCCTTTCTGCCTTTCTTCCCTTTGTTTCTAGGGATTCGTTCCATTTATTTTTTACAAAATGTACTGTACTTGGTGCTTGTCTGCAGGACGGAGGCACTGTTTGCAAAGAGTCTACCAAGAGCAACATGTTGGGGATGTGAGTCCTGCCAGCCTGGAGAGCAGCAGCCCCCCCGAAGGCAGCCAAAGGTCTGCCCTTGTAGATCTACTCAAGCTGCTATCATTGAGGGGATTCAGGAACAGCGTAAAAGATAGAGGGTTAAAACAGATCTGACACCAGAGCAGACAGAAAGTGTAAATCCTTGGGTTATTTTCTGCTCTCAGGCAGTTCTGGGACATGTGGGTAAAGGTGAAGGCTCGTTGGATTAGTCCTCGCTTACTGAGGTGCAAAACTGCTGGTCTGAGCAAACGTGTAATTCAGGTTCTTAAGCGTTTCCTCCTCATTCTGCATGACTTCACCCCTGCCAGCCCTCCTGCCATACTCCCTGCCCCCTTCTCTGACCCTGTGTTTCAGCCTCGCTTCCCTCTCCATTTGTACTTCATGCCTCTCTGTATCTATGGGGAGGTGTGAGCTCCACCAGCAAATCTGGGAGACAATCTCTCTCACCTTCCTGTAACACTTTCGTGCTGTTTTAAACTATCTTCTTTCCCCTAAATCTTTGTCTAGTCCAAAAGAGGTATTTCTGAAAAGCAGCAAATGAGCCCAGGGATGGGGACTCTGTTGGTTTCTGCCATAGGCACATTCTTTTCACTCTGTTCATAATAAGAGTCATCACTGTCATGTAAGTATAATACACTTTCAGAATAATTGTCTGCCCAAAGGACTAATCCCACTTCAATCTTTTAGACTCATTATTTCCAATTGCCTTTGGGTATATCTCAATCCCCACTTAACAGGAGAAGAAAAAATACCCAATCCCTCGTGTCCAATAGGAGAAAAAACAAATCCTAGAAATCCCACCCTCTGGAAATCCTCATGGATCATAACATCAATAAATACCTCCACATCATTAGCTTCCCAGGAGGGATACAAACAATTCTCTACAGAAAGGATACTTGTAGAATGTTGTGTGGCCCATCCAGGACATCTGTAATCCCCAGAATTAAACTGTGTTTGATAAAGATTTCATTGACAGCTGCCAGCCTCACATCTGTATTCATATTTATCTATTAAAGAATGCAAGAAAAAATTAATGCTCTCTACAGCAACAGTTGGGCCAGCCTACGGCTACAAACTGCAGCTGGATAGTCCCAAATACCACATCTCTGAAAGGAAAACTGTGACGAGAGCTGTCTGCAGTCAGAGAGGATTGTCACCAGCCATCAGTATTGGCCTAGCCACCACTAGCAGATGTCTGTGCAGACAGAAATCTCACTAAGGATTATTTCTCTTACAGATAACCTGTATGAAGTGGAATTGCCTTCCAGTATCACGTTCTCTTTTCCATCCCCCAGCAGTCCCTGAGTGAAGGACTCCTCTCCTGAACCTCTGTGCACCCACACATTTGCCAGCTTTCCCCTTGGAAAACGACAGCTGTCATTAGAGGCTTGCTCCAAAATCCATTAAAATCAGTGCAAAAACCCCTCTGGATTTTGAATCAAGCCTTTCCAATATTATTCTTCAGATCACTCCTTGGCAGTTTCCATACCCCCGTGATTCCTGCAAACAGAAGCTGACAACAACCAGCAGCGGATGCTGCAGGCTGGTTGCCTCTCATGCTGACATCATCTCCCTGTTACTTTCTACTGCCCAGACTACCACGGTTTTATAATTTTATTGCAACTTCTGTGGGTGAGGAGCTGCCTTTTTGTTCTGGACCCATTGCCAGGCAGGTGCGGTGGGGGCCTGGACCATGACTCCAGGGCACTGCAGCGACACAAGTAAACGGTGCTATTAGCAACAGGCAGCCAGATTGCAAGGACAGATGCAGGGCAGGAGCCGGCTCTGCTGGCGAGCCCTCGAGGCTTCCCACCAGCCGTGGGAACTCGAACCGCGCTCTGCGAGGGTTGCTTTATCTCCAGCAACAGGCGATCTGAGCCAGCCTGCCAGGCTCCAACACCTACGTTTCAGGCATTACGACACCTAACTTGGCTATGTAACATCCCTTGCCTGAACCCGATCTCCAACCCTGCTGTAAAAATATTCCTTCCTCGCCGGATAATTATGTTCTTCGCGTGCATCTAGGAGACAACCTGGATCCCAGCACTTTGGTGGGAAGGAGACCTGCTCCCCGCGCTCTGCACGCCCACACGCAAGCAGCCTCCTCTTACCTTCCTCTGGCGACGATCAATAACCAGTATCACAGCTACAGTCACTGCTACGGCGGCCAGGGTCACCAGCACGCTGGCCTCCCAGTACCGCCCGAAGGAACACAGCTGGACTGTGGAGTAGATGTTTGTCCAGAGAGACACGTAGAAAACCTGTAAAAATCCAGAGAGACTGATGATAGTCACTATGGAAGTGAGAAAAGTCACGGGAAGAAGAAAATTACCGGTCCCTTCTCCCAGGGTAATGCCTTACCATAAATTAAGTCACATGAGATTTTCAGAGGGTGAGAAAGGACAGAAGTTCTTTCCAATAATAAATAGGGGAAAGAAAGGACTAGAAGGACTGAGTGAGCGCTAGTTTATTGTAAAAAATTACCAAAGACAGAGAGTGAATTATTAATGATGATTCATACCTAGGAAGGATTTCAGCCGAGTTCTTCCATTTAGATAAGAAATGCACTCACTGAGGCATATTGATAATTCTTCTAATAGTCTCCATATTTAGAAAGCTCCTATGTCAAAGCACTCAAGGTGGTGCAGAGACTACTCAATTGCAGTAACGCTTAAATGGTGGATGCTGACACTGGGTTCAAGGACTATGCTAAGGGCTGACAAACTTGGCCTTTGCATAAAGACAGGCAAAAACTGAATTCATTTGGCTTTTATTTCAGATAGCATGCATTTGGGCAGGAGATTGCCTAGAAGCAAATATGATGTGTACCACACGGCATCATCTTGCAATAACGTAACTCATTTGCGCTAAACAGGCACCAAAACCCTCAAAACACTGAGCTCAAATTCTTACAATATTAGTGAAAGGAGGAGGAGACTTGTATAATGGCTATCCAAAAAAATAAATGCAACCAAAACAAAGGAGTCAGATTTTATCACACCCTCAGCATGCTGCAAAGTATCAGCCTTACAGTAGATGCTAATGGTTGGGGTCTCTGGAGGAGCTTCTCTCACCAGAAGAAAAGCAAGACTAAGTAACCAAAGTTGACTGGTCCATTGGTCTAATTAGCATCAGGACCAGAATATCTACAGATCTTTAAAATCAAATTAAAAAATAAAGTCTGATGGAGGTACTACTACCTCAGCCTGTGCTGATTATCCAGCCACAGACAGCCCGCTTCAGTGGGACTACCAGGAAGGGGTTGGAGAACGTGCCTTGCCCTCCATCTACAGAAATTCTGTGGACTGAGATTTCTGAAGGAGCCCACTAGGATGTGTGAAAATCACTGTCTCCTGCCACTCAAACCTCTCTCCCTTCCTGGCCACAAGAACCCCAGTTTAGGTCTTGATGCACCTCAGCAAGTCTATGGCAAGCCTGCGAGAGACCCTGCAGTCCTTACCACAGCGATGGCTATGTGGAACGCCCTGGAGTTGTAGAACATGTACCGTCTTACTTCAGGCTTCAGGACAGCATCCTGGATTAACCTTCTCCACTGATCCACTGCCACCTGCTCAGGGAGAAAACAGCAAACTAGGGTCACCCTCCAGTTTTGGGCACCTAGCCCCATCAGAACCAGCCTGGGCAGTCATCGTGCAGCCAGGCTGGCACTGCAACTGAAAGCTGTGTCCCGGAGCACCCTCCCACAGAGCGCACCTCCAATCTCATCCATACAGCTCTCACAGACCAAAAACTTGTGTGCTTGCCTCATTTGCGGTGAGTAATATCTCCCTGAAAAGTGCAGGGAAAGTCACAAAGAGAAAACCACCTTTTTATGACAAAGGATAAGAGAAGACAGATTGTCTCAGGAACACTCCATCCCATCAGAGTGACTTTCAAGCAATTCACTCGAACCTATATTAAATGGATTTCTTCATGGAGGTTTAAGCCAAGATCATTACAGTTGACTTGCAGTCCATGGGGAATAGACTGAAGTTGAACTGAAACAAGCCACTCGAACAAAAAAGGAAAAGAAACGCTGTGAGTGATATGGGTGAAATGCAAATGACACTAATCCAGCTAGCATTCACTCCTACAGGGTCCCCAGGGGACATTACGCATGAAGAGATTACCTGAACCCCAAGGGACTTCAGTTTCTCTGCACAAAGCTCCATGTCAAAGGAGGTGGCTGAGCAGTTGTTGTCCATGCTGAGCACCATGAGCACCTGGCCATTGAGCGGTTCTGCAAGAGCACAAAGGAGTCACGAGCATGGCTCTGGCACGGGTTTTTCTCCCAGCAGCTAAGGAGCACATGGCAAAGGGAAGGCTGAGGAATGCAGACCACCCTGACATGTTGTAAATGGATCCAGAATTCCCCCTTGGACATTTCTAAGAACATCACAAAGAGCTTCGGAAGCAGCACAGCAGCCTGATGTGCCCTGTAAGGGAACAACCTACAAAAAGGGAGGTAACTCCAAACACATTCCAGGAGTGAGCAGTCAGAGATAACATGATGCTCTGATCTTCATCAGGATAATGTCTTGCCTCACTGATCACTAACTGAAAGGACAATGGACTCAAGCTGCTGGGTGTTCCTAATGATATCTGCCTCAGAGAGATCCCCCATCGCCTACTCACCCCTCCCACTACTAGAAAAAGCTTGAGCAATCAAAGCAAGGTGCTTTCCAATAATCATGTTGTCTGGGACATGGCAGGGCTGCTCTGGAGCATGAGCTCCATAGGTCCTCCAGCAGCCAGGTCCCTGCTCTCGCAGTGCTCCTGGGCAGCATGGCTCTGCTCAGGGCTCTCAGCTTCACAGTTTCAGCTAGGGCTAGGATCAGAGGTGTAATCTGGAGACCCAGGTTGCAGTCAGGAGCCCAGAAAGTGTGAGGACAGCCTGCCCTAGATTTGGGGAGCCAGCTGCTCGGAGCTGAGGTAGAGCAGCCTTGGAGCAGCACAAGAAAGCTGTGATCTCCAGGCATCACATTTGGCATTCATCTAGAGTTTACACAAGCTGTGCTACGTCAAGAGGAAGAGCTCGAGTCTAAGGAAGTGGCGTGTTCAGATGAGATCCTGTTTCACTGAGATGTTTCACCCAGCTTTCCTTCCCCTTTGAAGATCTGGAGTCAGCCAGGTGTCCCCTGGGGCTGCTCCTCCTGACACTGCCTGCTCAGTGCTCTCCCAGACTGATGCACTGGCCAAAATGCAGCGTGTTACTTCATATTTAGTTAATTTTGCAAATGAGGTGCTGTTAACGAGCATCTTTGAAAAATCTGTCTTCTGTTACTTTCAGAGCGCTGTACTCAGTGCTGCCTTTCTCCTTATCATGTTGCTCACTTACCTTTTACCCACTGCAGGGATCCATCCTTTAAATCACTCTTACAATAGAGGATGGAGGAAAGTGACCCATTTTTCTCAATTCCACCAGTTTGGCTTTTATGGGCCATGCTGAAGGTGCCTCTCCTTGAGGCACTCTATGTGGTATCGTCAGGAATTCAGCACTTTGTGTATCCGCCTTATCTTTCACTGCTAAGAAACCCCGATTCAGCCCCAAGGCAGCAGGCGGCCGATTGCTCTCCTTGGGGACCAGATTGTGAAATCTTCATTCACGCTCCCGCTGACGACTTCCTTCAGATCTTGCTTTCCATGAGCGAGGAGGCATTTTCTAGCCCTGAAAAGAGGAAAAGAAAATCCAAAGTCTTGCAGATAACAGCAAAGAGAGGGTAACAGCACAGACTACTTGGGTGTACTCTGCTCTTTGGACCCCGCTCCCTGTGGATTTTATCACCAGGTAGGTGTTAGCCAGCCGTAAGTGCAGTACGCACGGGCTCGCCTTTTGCTGCAGTTACTTTTTTTTTAATAGGTGGAAAAGTTCTCCTTAAATATTCCATAAATTATCCCGACAGCCTTAAATATTCATATTTTGTAAACATTTAGTCCAGGAACAGGCAGGATTCCTCCTTGCAAAACCAACAGGCTTTTTGCTACTGCTTTCAGCGGGCACTTTCAGAAGGAAGTGGAGCCGGTGTAAATGCCCTTCCCTGGAAGCAATGCACCCCGCGCAGTGACACAGCGGATAATTCCCCACCACACGAAACAAGCAGTGCAGATAAGGAAGAAAAATGCATCCACCGAAGGCAGAGGCAAGCAGAGCTCTCACCCAGCAGCAGCAAAGCCTTTGAGGGTCTCTGCTCTCCTTTCCCCTCTCCTCTCTGCCGCGGGCGGTGCCAGAAGACGACGGGACACGTCCCCGCAGCAGGCAGCATGCCCACGGGTTTTCCAGACAAACGCTGCTGACGTAGGTCTCTACCCTACTGCCAGGATCTGTGGGTGGCTATTAAAGCAAATGCTTGGAAGACTCTGAAGTTTACTTTTCAATTATCTTCTGCTCACATGGCTCAGCTGCCTCTGTGCTGGCTCTCCGAAACTGTCATTTACTTTTTAACCTCCTCTCCATCTTACTTTTGCACCGGGAGCCTGTTGCTGTCTCCTGGTGTTTGGTCTCTCCCGGAGCTCATCCGCTCTCCTTCCAAAGAGGATTGCTTTATTTTTGACTGATGGTCGTTGCTGCAATTACCCCCTTGCACAAAGCCGGGACAGTCACCAGTTGAAGGACTGTCAGAAAGGAAATTGAGGCAAGAGAAATAACACCAAAGGTTCTTCTGATCACAGAAAAAACCTGCAGAGGGCTGGAAACTCACACTTAAAGGAATCAAGCCACGGTACACATTGCACAAGAGGTGTGCAAGTGTGTGTGTGTGTGTACATGGGATGGGCACAGCACCTGCTCTTCACCGGCACAGGTGAGGAGCGATTCTGCTGTAGGTTGAGCACGACTCTCCAGTGCGATCTCCTTGCAGAGCATGGGCAGGCACGTGTTACACAGCACGTCTCCCAGCACCGAGAGGTGGATTCAAACAGTGAATTTTCTCACTCCTTTCCCCTTTTGCCTTCAATCCCTTCAGGTTAGCGTCAAACAGAAGGGAAAATGAAAAACAAAACAGAAAAGCCCGCACAGAACAGCAGCAAAGCAGAGAGTGAAACAAAAGGAAAACCTAATTAAAACCTACCACCCTGTTGTTGCTGCTATCATGTGAAGTTAGAGATGAATCAAGGCTCTCTGGCTTAGAGGTTGAGAGTTTTGAGTCCCTGGAGGCCAGTCCCCAGGAGATGACGGTGAAGGGTGCGGCAGGGTGAGGGCAGCTCAGCCTTCCCCAGCACATCTGGGGGCTGCAGGAAGGAAACGGCCTTCCCCAGCTGAGACGGGCTTATCTGCAAAAGCAGCTTTGCTTTTACCTCTTTGTGCAGCATAGATTCGTTTGGCTCTGTTGACTTTTACTGCAGAACAACTACCTGGTTTTGTAGATGGGTCCCCCCAAATCTTCTGCCTCCTCCTGTGCTAACACAAAGAGCATCCTCTCATCTCCTGCACTCCCCAGGCTCTGTGTCTCTCTACAACTCTTCTTATTCTTTATGCAATACCAACATTCCTCTGGTGACTTTGCCTCCTTCAGGCTATGGACCTTCTTTTAGGACACCTCCAAGCCCTAGCTAAACAGCAGAGAAACATTAGAAACATTCAGCAAGTCCTTCTGCTTCATTTCCAGACTGGCTGGCAGAGGCTTACCTGGTCCGGCTCACCTCCTGCTCCTGGGGAGCCGGCTCAGCTCCCTCCTCCTCCTCCTCACTGTCCTTTATCTGCCCAGGCACCGTGCAGTCCCACCGCCGAGCAGGGAGCTCTCCCGTCCCGCAGCCCCAACTTGTGCCAGGGAAGGTCGTTCTCTTCCCTGCGTCTCCTAGAGACCAGGGACTAACCAGGCACAGCTCACCCAAGGCAAGAAGCCTTCGCCCCCACGCTCCCTCTCATTACACGGAGCTGCAAGCACCAACTTGCAAAATCTCCCTTGTGCATGTGACTTTTCCCCTAGGCGCATTTCAGAACCGTGGTTTTAACCCTCTAGAGTTCCTCAAAAGTGCCTTCCCACCAAAGACACGGCCTTGGGAGGCGGTCCCGCCGCAGGAGGTAGGCTCACCTTTTGCAGGGTGGGGGTCCAAGAGCTGGAGCTGGACCCCGAAGGTCGTGAAGAGCTGAAGAGTGGCACAGACAGAAGGCTGTCCTCCTCTTCCTCGATCAGCCGGGCAGGGCTCACGAAGTACAAATCCCACAGTTGCGTCAGGTTAGTTGCCATGAATATATTAGTCAAAGCCAAGCATCGATGAGGGGGCTGGAGAAATCAGAAAAGGTGAACGAAGATCTCAAGGCTGAGAACCGGTCACTGCATATTTGGCAAAAGGTCATGTTAAAGCACAGAGAACCAGGGATAATGTGCCGGGGGGAACTGTAACCCTCCTTAAAACAGGAGGCTGCGCTGATACGGAGGGTGGGTGCGAGTTTCCTCTCCAGCTGCTGGACTCAGAAGAAAAGAAGTAGGCTCAGACAGACGGTCAGACAGACCCCCCAGAACAGCCTCATGTGCTGGGGAAGTCATTTGCTTTCATGCAAAGAGATAATGCTGAGATATCACAGGAGAGAAGGCTCGTCAGCCTGGGTTCACATGGTTTCACCAAAAGCTAGAGGATTCATGGAGGCTAGGAACAGAGTGAATCAAGTATCTCAGTGACTGTTAGTCTTAGTGAATAGTTAAACACCACCCCCCCCCAAAAAAAAAAACCCAAACACCTGCATTGCAGTGCCTGTGTACACTTCCAGGAGAAAATGACGTTCTTCTCTTGGAGGGATGAATTTCTGCAACCCTGCTTGCTCCAGACATTGCTGAGCAACGTGTTCATTACATCATGTGGCTGCATGGGGGACAGACCTGACTTCAAAACCGCTTACCCACATGGGATCTTGTTACACTGGAAACTGGCAACTCACATAGTAATGTCATCCAGGTATTGAGAAAAATCAGGTAAATCTTCTTGCTGTTGTTCCTAGCTCAAGGCCCAGCTCAAATCCCCACCCAAGATAGGGCCATGCAAAGCTTAGGTTCTTTTGCAAACGCTCCTCATCAAAAGCTTTGGCTTCGTTTCCTCCTCTTTTCGCCCACACAAGGATCCTGACAGAGGGAGAAGATGACGACCAACGTGCTTAGGAAGAGCACTGTCAGCTCACTGCAAAAAAAATGCCTGGGGCAAAACTCTGCGGGGGCAATAAACTTGAAAGAACACCCATAATTACCTGCAGCACATACACTGTACGCCTCTTGTTTAGCAAGACGTGCATGTACGGGCTGATCTTGCTCATTTGGGGGGGGGGGGAGGGGATAAAAAAGAAAAAGAAAAAAAGCTAGTTCCAAGTTTAAAACAATCCCAGTTTTGCTGCTCTGAAGCAGCAAAAAAGACCACACACTATTAAATCTTTAGAAACTTTTAGACTCTGAAGATTTCCAAAGCATCTGTTTCACACTTATCTAAGGAACTGAGGAGGAAGCTCCACAGCAGCTTACACCAATCTAAAAGGAAGGCAAAGTTTTCCATTTCTTTTTCTGAGATCATTTTCCACCCAGCCACCTCCCTGAACTTGCATATCCGGCCCAAAGGAGATGACGGATCTGCAGGTTGGGTTGTGTGGAGTCAAGGTCTCCTAGCCCGACTCTTCCTGACTTCAGCAGTCATCAAGCCACATGCTCAGAAAACTTTGGCAGGTGTTAGTTTTCTGAGCATCTTATTTGGTGCATAATTTTGACACTTTTGTTAGGCAGGCGAGATTCTGCCAGGTATCTTCTCAATCCAAGCAAGTATCCTGTAGCCACAGGTCCTACAGAATAGTCTATAAAATATTCAATGATTAATATATTCCAATAAACAACACATTTTAGATGCTAGCTGGACAATAAGCTGCTATCGTATTTGCACGTCTTTATATCTGCTGGGCTTCTGAAATGCAAAGATGTGTCTGCAACATTCCTATCCCACCTATTAGTGGCCCTACCAAAACTTGAGCATTAGAAATTTAACCTTCTTAAAGCCAACAGGGAGAACAACAAATACCAAGTCAATCAGTAAGCTAGAAAGAAATTTGGAGAGAGGCAAAGGCTCACAAGAAACAGGGAACTATTTGACTGTAAAACAGAGAGAGGGCACTGGCAGGATCCCAATGCAGACTGGAGATGCCTCTGTTTTGTGGAGCCCAGCTGACACCCTCTGAAACTGGCCCTATTTAAAAATGAAAGTCTTCCAAAAATTGAAATGTGAATGAATGGAACAAAAGTGAATGAAAATGCAGACTTCTCTGCTCCAGCAAGTATCATGTCGGCTGTATGTTCAGCTTGTGCCGGCTGGCAGGGGATTTGTGGATTTGTTTTATACAAACGAGAGTTAAGGCAGCTTGAGGTTTGCCTTGAGCTTTGTTCACTGGTATCTGTGAAGAAGCAAGTCCTGACTTAACATAAACCCACGGCAAAGCTATTTGCAAAATCTCTCTCTCTCACTTCACTTGCTCTTTGCCTATTTTCTAATTCCCAGTCTTACCTCTCTGATAATTAAGTGATGAGCTCCC